GATAAACATAATTAATAAACAAATAAACATAATGAGATAATTGTAATTAGTACTGGCAACACAATGTTAAAATGAATTGTTATAAAAATGCTAAAGAGGTGGGTGTCCATGGGTTATTTCAGATATATTGGTTTATTGCAGTTTATAAATTTCACGAGCGGATCCATTTTGTCCATAATCACAGCATGTAAAAGTTCACTAAGTTTAAACTGCATGTGGACTTACACTTGACAGAGATCTAGGCCGTAGGAAGAGAGTCGTTGCATAATTTTCTGAAACTTTGGATATTGATGTTTATCTTAACCCACCGGGCGGCTCGCATTCGAATCTATTTACGTCTTGAAAACTGCAGCAAAAATTAACCATGTTTACAATTTTTTTTCATTTAGAGTGAACCAAAATTGTCCTGAAAACGGCCATTGTTAGATTTTCTTCCCCCCTCCTTGTAGGGCGATCAACAAGTCGTTTCACTTAAGTGATGGTTTCCTACTGTCCTTTGATTACTGCCTAGAGGTGATTAAGCAGATGGGGTGGTTTTGCCCTTATGGAGGAAAGAACACGTTTTATGTCCATGCTTTGGTTAGACGAAAAAAGATATTTTTTCTGGAAATCCAAAACAGAGTATTGCCTTGTTACTAATTTTGTGCATATTTCTGATCTTAATTGCTTATCAGAGCCGTGCCAAGATATTTTTTCACCTGAGGCAGAAAGGTAAATGCGTGTCCATATAAATATAAAAATAGCTACATTTGTATTAAGCAAAAGTAATTGTATTAATCAAAATATCATAATTCTTATAGCATAATTATACCATAATTCTTAAAGTATTTTTTAATCGTAGTTTTATAAATTCAGAAAAATAATGTAGCCAATTATTTATAATTTTCAAATGAAAACGTTAAAAAATTCGTTTTTGATAAATAAGAAATAACACTGAAATGCATATTGCATTAATTTCCAGGTTTCTTGCAATTTTTTTTTTTTTTTTTTTTTTTTTTTTTTTTTTTTTTTTTTTTGGCTTGTTTTATTGATTTAAGTTTGACGAAGCCTATTTCCCCTAATAATTACTGACAAATCAAAAAACATAATTAAAGTAATTTTCGAATTCGTATAGCCAATTTGGCGCCTCTTCTAGTGATTCACATGAGGCAAGGGCCTCACTTGCCTGACCCTTTTCCCGGCTTTGTTGCTTATTAAGTATAAATGTTATTGATTTTTATTGCGTTTCGGTATTTTAATGTACGTTTATAGAATGTTAATTTGTTTTTATATGCATATTTCAGTAATATAATCTTACGACTAGTGAGACAGTGTAGTTTAACTAATTTTCTGCTTTTGATTCATGTTATCGAGCTTTAACGCTAAGAAAAAATTTATAAGAGGCTTAAAATACCTAATTCCTATTGAAAGCTACATGTAATTGATAATTAAATTACTATTAAAATAACAAACACATGCTCAGTGTCAGTCATTTCGACATAATGTTTGTAATTCATTTTACCACAAATTTATTTCGTTTATCTTGTTTCATATTTATAAAAGGGAGTTTACCTTTATCGCATTTATTGGTTGATAGAAGTTATGAAATATTGAATATTTTGAAACAAATTTCAGTCATAATAACCTTATTAAAAATTTTCTACATATAGACAAGATGTCACAGATACCTCTCAGTTTCCGAACTAAATTACATGATACTGAAATTCGGTGCATTTTCATATGATTATTTTTGACAGAAAGAGTTACCTTATGTAAATCACAAAAGAACATTGTTTTAATTCTTAATTAAATATAGCACTTGTATTAAATTGCTAAAATTCATTGTTAGGAATATCTCGCACTAAGAAATTAGATACTTTTACCTTTCGAAGTGGGGGCCCACCAGCGGCCGAGCGGTAAAGACGCTGAACACTGGTAGTTCGGTCCGAGGTTCGAATCCCGCGAACGGGCTGGCTGCATGGGCGTTTTCGTGGTTTTTCCCCATGTGTAACATGTATACGAGCCAGTTTCCCTTAGAAAGTCCTCCACGAAAGGCATCCCTCCCCTTAGGCAGATAGCCCTAGTGTGCTTTGCCATAATTTAATACACCACACCACCACCTTTCAAAGTGGAATTTTTGTGGTTCTCCCTGTGCATAATGTGGGCGCGAGTAAGTTTTTCTTAGAATGTCCTCCACGGAGGCATTCCTCCCTTTAGGCAGATAGCTCTCGCGTGCTTTGAAGGAAAAATAAAGCAAACCCAAAAGCTTCAAAATTAGTGTTTAACATTTTTTGGGGTTTACGCAAATTATTTAGAGATCTCAATTCACATTATCAATTGTTATTATTTAAAAAAAATAAAAGCAAGCTGAGGATTTCCATTTAAATTGTTTGTTTTAAAATAAAAAATAAGAACAGTAAGTTTTGAATAAATCTTGTCAACATCAAGCAGGGATAGGAACATGCCAATGTAAAATTTAATATTAGGCCAAAAAGAAACGCTTTGACGTAGATTTTGGATAAAACTTAATCAAATTCGCAGGTAGTCAGAGACAGGCCATTTCTTCAGTAGAGAGAAAAAAATGTTTCTGAAGTATTTGTGTATTTATTACATAAATGTTTTAATGCTTCCATAGCACTGCTAATCGATAAAATTTATTTGATGAAAAGTAGGAAGTTTGCTTTTAAAATTCCGATTTTTCAACCGTTTTCAGTGCCATATGTGGCATCGAAAAACACGTCTGGCCAGGAGGCAGATTAATGGCTGAAAAATTCTTAGAATTTAAAGAGGCATCGAACAAGAAAATTTAGGGATGGCGAAATTCTAAGAATTTGGCACTTGACAACAAAAATTTATTGGACGGCAAAAGTTTTAGAATGTAGAGAGCTACAGAATTTAGGCAGGGCAAAATATTTTAAATTTATAGAACATCGGTCAATAGAATTAAGATCCCACAGCGATTGCACTGAGAAGCAAAATGTCTAGCATCGACCTGCTTCTCGATTATGCGGATGGACGCAGATTAACTTGCGAAAGCTCAGTGAAGCAAGAGCTATACATAATGCAGCTATTTACGATTTCTGCTATAATAAACTGAAATTTAATATAATAATTTAACACTATATATCAGTTTACGAAAACATGATGATACTTTTGAGAAATTTTCTTTAATTCCCCAGTACACTAAAAAAAAAAAAAAAAAAATAAAAATAAAAAATACGATAGATTATATAATGATATGACTAACAAAATGATGCCGATGACGCATTTAATTTTTACCTTTTTATTAATCTAAATAAATATGTCATTGAGTTTCCCATAACTTATAGTTTTTCAAATTAAAAATGTTCAATAATATAATATGTGATTATGGTATTATTGGTATGGTACTATTCAATTAAGGCAAAGCACACGAGGGTTATCTGCCTAAAGGGAGGGATGCCTTCGTGGAGGACTTTCTAAGGGAAACTGGCTCGTATACACGTTACACATGGGGAAAACCACGAAAACGACCATGCAGCCAGCCCGTTCGCGGGATTCGAACCTCGGACCGAACTACCAGTGTTCAGCGTCTTTACCGCTCGGCCGCTGGTGGGTAATATGTGATTATGAAAGCTGTGTAAAAGAAGAAAAATTCTTGCACATTCGTCAGGCAGCATACGATGGGTACCTGCTTGAGGAAAAGGATGCGTTTGTAGATGACTTTTTCAGGGAAACTGGTTTGGTATATTCAACCTAAAATTCACCAAAATACCAAGCAACGAACGCATTCGCCGGAATTCAAACTTAGGCAAAACTACCAGTGTTCAGTTGCAAAAGAGAGTTGCATCCATAAACAGGCAACATGTCTGAAATTAGTATTTATTGCATCCAACAGTGATATGATTTTCTGATATAATTTAATGGAATATCACTGCAAAAAAATGGGAATCTTTTTTTGTCTTTTTGTAAGGAGATTTCTTTCCTCTTTGGTTTCAACATTTGGTTGAAATGCAAATTAAATAAATATTTGCAAATGCAGAATATTGGATAGCTATTGATGATTTTGAGATTCAGTTTCTGAAATCCATTTCATGTGTCATTTCCTTAAAAAGGTGATACTGAAACCAACTTTCGAGGAGTAAAATGATTACTAGAAAAGAGTTTCCGATTTCTTTCATTCTTTTATTCCCATTATAAATTTATCCCGTAGTTCTTAGAACATTTTTCTATCCGTAAGTGATGATTTGCTTTCCGAGAAAATTTTCTGAAAGGAATAAATTACTTAGTCTTCAAACCATGGGAAAATCTTGCCATCGCCGGTACTTAATTCCCTTCATTTACTGAGATAACCTGCTTTGTTATAAGTATGGTACTTGTTTTCTGATTTTTACTGAATTTGCATGCTCAAAGCTATCTAAATAAAGAAACGCTATTGTTAATATCAGGGTATGAGTACATATATGAAAGGGTTATATATTTTTCAGAATTCCCCTATGAGCTGTTTATTCTTAGGGCAGAAAGAGGAAAAAGCTTGCATACATCGCCATTCCCGGAAACTAGACAGTACCGAAAACATTACTAGACAGTCCGGTTTACCAAACAATAGAGTTTATCTGATTCCTAGTTGTAAAAGCTGACAGTTATAAATTGTTATGTTCATGGCGACCTTCAGAAGGCATCAAATTACTTCAAAAGTTCCGCTCCCTTTTCAAAACTCTCTTCTATTTGAGATGAATAAAATCATTTTGTACGTTTCTAAGTTTCTAAGTTTATTGGATAAAATAGGGCATGGAGTAAGACAGCATTTGTATACATAATAAATTTTGTTGACAACATTATTTCGCGGGGGGGGAGATACAGTTTAACAATAGCTGAGGCGCTTTAAATGTGAGGTTAGTAATGAAAACTCTTAGTTCTTTTTTTGAAATCCTTATGTTGAAGTTAACATTTTTGTATTCTGCACATTTTGTACTCTAGCTTTCTTCAATCAGTTATAGTTTTAAAATTATCAAACTTAAGTTTATTTTTCAACTTATATAATGGAGAGTGGCTCTGATAGTGAAGATGCACTACTTTCTTCAGATATTGAATCTTGCGAATCATCAGAATCTGATAGCGATTCAGAGTCAAGTTGTGGCATCACAGATGTTAGAGACTGGTGTCAAATAAATATGCAAGATATTCCACCAGCTCCTCCAAGATTTCCTTTCCATGGAGATCCGGGAATCAAAGTATCGTTAACGAATGAAAATCCTTTGGAATATTTTGAACTTTTTGCAGACGAAGAGTTTATTGCATGTATAGTGAATGAAACAAATCGTTATGCTGGGCAGTATTTAGATCGAATTGGACTAACACCATCGTCTAGATGTCAAAAGTGGACCGACACAAATGAAAGCGAAATCAAAGTGTTTTTGGCCTTATTACTGCTACAAGGCATCTTACGAAAGCCTAAACAAAAGTGGTTTTGGACCACAAGGCCAATAATCAGCACGCCTTTCATCTCCAAAATTATGTCAGAGAAAAGGTATGCACTTATTATGAAATTTCTTCATTTTTCTGACAATTCATCGGATATAATGTCAGAACAGAATTTAGTTCCTCAAAAACTGAAGAAAATATTTAATATTTTCAGCATGTTAAATAAAAAATTTCAAATGTTTTATGTTCCCGAAAGAGATATCAGTATTGACGAATCACTGTTGCCCTACAAAGGACGACTCAGCTGGAAGCAGTACATACCCTCCAAAAGGGCAAGATTTGGCATAAAAATGTTTCACCTTTGTGAATCAGCAAGTGGTTATATTTGGCGTAGTATCATATATACTGGAAAAGACACCAGTTTCGATAGTAAATACAATGAATACGGACTCGCCACGAAGTCTGTATTGTCACTGTTAGATCCTCTTTTAGACAGAGGATACTGTTTAACAGTGGACAATTTTTACAATTCTCCTGAACTAGCTGACATTTTAATACGGCACAAAACAGATATATACGGAACTCTTCGACCATCACAAAAAAATGTACCAGCGGTTTTAAAAGCAACGAAAGTTAAGAAAGGAGACATTATAGCTTTCCAGTGAGGAAAGATGATGGCACTGAAGTGGACCGATAAAAAAACAGTGTGTATGCTATCAACAGTGCATAACCCTGCAGTGATTGAAGTTAAATAAACAAAGCAAAATTGTGAAAAAGCCTTTAGTTGTCATTGAATATAATGATACAATGGCTGGTGTTGATAAAGCAGACCAGTCACTTTCATATTATCCTTCTGCAAGGAAAACAGCAAAAACGTCATTACAACAAAAATCTGTTTCTTCACTTATTAAATCAACTTGTATGGAACGCATTCGTACTTTACAGTAAAAGGACAGGTACAATGTCTCATTTAGAGTTCCGCCTGCAGGTGATAGAAAATTTAATTCAGATCAATGCAATGGAAAGTAATTACTGTCCTGCACCCTCAGTCGAAAAAAATATTTTGCGATTGAAAGGCCGACATTTTCCTAGTAGTTTGAAACAGAGAGGAAAAAAAAAAGACCCCTGTAAGGAAATGTGTAGTTTGCACCTTAAAAGTGGATAAAAATGGTAAAAGAAAACGAAGAGAAAGTCGTTATCAGTGCGAGGACTGTAATGTAGGATTGTGTATCGAGCCTTGTTTTAAGGAATATCATACGAAGCAGTATTTGTGAACGTTTCTTCCTAGAAAATAATTGTGGGCGAGTTTCCTTGCATTTTAGATATAATCTAAATGATATTCTTTTTCCTAACTGAATTATTACACACAAAGTGTTGTTTTTTTTTTTTTTTTTTTAATTTGCTAGTAAAAGAACTTTTGCTGACTTATATTGAACTTATTTCAGAAAGCGAGTTCACAGAACTGTATTTTTAAAATTTTTATTTGAAATATTAATAATTTAGAAGTGTTATTAATTTTATTCTAAAAGCATAAGTTTGAAAGTATTCATTTTTTGATATGCTGCGTTTGATTATTTTTAAATACTTATCACTTTTCATTATAAATAGAATTCAGAGTTATGTCTACATTTTTATTACTTTAATGCTTTTCTTTGAATGCTTCGTATACAGGTATATTGATATCAATGGTGAAATGAGCGGCAAATTATAAATATAACTATGATTCGTATTTATATGATTTTATGGTATATGTTTTATTATAGAAATTTTAATATGTGTTTTTTTTTCTGCTTATGAAGTTCAAAGTGTTTTCATATCATACTTTCAACTAAAAATATAAAATTTAAAATGAAATATCAAACATGTCAGTTGTTAAAATGGTTTTGATTTTAGTATTTTGTTACCTATTAATTTCTATAGTGTTCGTAGAAAAAAAAAATAAATGTCTATTCCTTTTTAGAACTTGAAAACTACTCTTAATTTCTACTCCTTTTAAGAACTTGAATAGTTTTGTTTAAATTTTATGTTTGTTTTCCAAATAAATAACAGGAAATGCCGAAGGGCCTGGGTTCGAATCCCGGAGAAGGCATGGTTGTAACTGTCCGTCCCTTCATAGGAAAGGCGATGGTGGTGCCTTCATAATAAAGAGATCACTACATCCGGCCTTGTATAGATTAATGGACTGGGTTACATTTGTAATTGTACACAATCTGCCATTGAAAAAAAAAATAATAATAATAACAGGATTGAAATAATAATTATGTTCTTATGTTACTAAATAAACATTTAACTGATTGTTTCTTTAGATGACCAGTGTTTGGCGGAGAGTAACAATTCTGTTGATTGTACATATAAATTTGTATGGTTATACATAGGAATGTACGTGTATGTACGTGTACTCAGTTTTAAATCGCAAATGAAAAAGTCATTTGATCTTTTTAAGGGGAACAGAATCTAACTCCGGATGAAATTTGACAAAAAAGGAAACGTGCGTTGCAAAAGAAAGTTGTTTCTTTCATCGAGAAAACATAGTTTTTTCCTCAAGTCTTTCAACGAACCACTTTAAGTTCAGATCTGAAACTAAGTTTTAAAACTGTTCTGTTATGCTCTTCTCTTAACTGCCTTAAAACGTTATCATAGGATTTTCAAAAATCGTTTTTATATGTGTAATTTTGTCTTTTTTTATCTCGTAGATTTTCCGATTAATTAAATTAGAATGTATTAATAAACCATGATGTTAGTTTTGAATTTGATTAATGAATGAATTATTTTGATTTTTGTTTACGCCTTAAATTATTTTTAAACATTGCTTTATCTTTTGTTTTGCTACTGATAACACTCTTTTTACAAGTTTAAAAATTCCCATACCTGTATGTTGTGTACTTCGTATGAATTTATGAATAAGAAATAACTAAATCTTTTTGTGCAATACATTTAAAAAAAAAACCCTGCAAATATAAAGTTAAACAACTTCCTGAAACAATATTCCTTTATAAAAATAATGTGTTTAAGCAGATAAATAATAGCTGCAAAAATATCAGCATTTATATGACCATTGAACATATATGTGCAATCTATGTTCTGCGCAATCAGTACATTTCAACAGCATCAGTACTTCTATTTCTATTGCTTTCATTGCAAACAAATAGATAGTTAGATTTCAATACCGTATGAAAAAAAGTTTTGTATCAATTGAAAAAAAAATATTTACACAGATTTAAATGTTCTTATATAAGCTTAAAGAAAGTATTCAATAATGTGGGTTATCCTTCCCCAAAGCTAATTAATCAAACACAAAATTCTAAGTTTCCGTAAGCAGACTTAAATATTTATCCTAATAATTTTACTATTAAAAAAGAAAGGCCCCCTAGATTCAACTGTTTAGTGTAAAATTTTACCTCAGAATACTTTATACATTGACTTATTTGCGATTTCCTCAATTTCTATTTTAACTAAGTGCTGAAACTTCTATTCACACTTTAAACTAAATAGCGATTCTTTTTATACTAGATAATAGAAATAAGGAAAAAATCGATATTACTGTGTTTCTAGCAATGAATTATTCTGTGAAATGTGATATTACGCAGTACACATTATTTACTTTTTGAATGGGATTTCTGTGACAGAATGAATTTTCTACATAACTGCATCACTTAAACGGAGTGCATAGAAGACCTACATCAGAGGAATTTACCTCTTCTTTCTTTTTTTTTTTTTTTTTTTTTTTAACTTCTGTGGTAATAGTAAATTTACCATTCATCTCGAAGGTATTGCTATAGTATTAGCTATTTTATTTATCCATTGTTTATAACAAGATGAAAAAAAAAAAAAAAAAAAAAAGAGGTAGGATAGTTTACAGTTCAAATATAGGGGATGAAAAGGTAACTTATGCCAAACTTCTTTGCTAACAGGTCAGTTTTGGACTAAGGACCAAGAAGTTTAAATTACAATTACATCCACATAATCGAAAATAATTGAACAAATAATAGAGCGGAATTGCTAAGCCTGTATTCAAAGGAGTCGTTCAGGTACATTTGAAGTAGAGATTTCATCTATTGAAGCGTGCAGCATACAAGGGGTAACCACTAATTGTGGAAGGAGATAGAGCAGTTTTTCCTACTCTGTCACACATTGTTCTGAACAGCTGTAAGAACAGGCAGGGCATTCATTGTTTAGGAACGTGTTTTTTTACTTGTTCTCAAGCTTTATCTAGCATTCTTTCTATTCCAATTAGTGGTACTTGAAAAAGCCGGAAACCGCCTCCGGTGTTTCTCTGTTTTTCAATGAAACTATAATTCCAGCCTGAGTTGGGCTGAAATCGGATATTTTATCATTTAATCTTTTGTAATTTATTTAATTTGCTAATATTTTTATTTATTTCTTAACATTTTATTTAATTTTAATCATTGACGTTTTATTATTTTATGTATGTATTTTTGTCATCATTCCGGATGGTCTTCCACAGAGCTGTAAAATTTTAGAAATTAGACCCTGCGTAATAGGTAATGTTAAACTACAATATATAGTTTTCCCTCTTCTTAAAATGCGAGGAAGGCACGAATTAGGCCCGTGTATTACATCTTTTTCATAAATCAAATAAAAAATTAGAAATATAATTATCGCTTTTAAGTCGCCCACCAGCGGCCGAGCGGTAAAGTCGCTGAACACTGGTAGTTCGGTCCGAGGTTCGAATCCCGCGAACGGGCTGGCTGCATGGGCGTTTTCGTGGGTTTCCCCATGTGTAACGTGTATACGAGCCAGTTTCCCTTAGAAACGTCCTCCACGAAGGCATCCCTCCTCTTAGGCAGATAGCCCTCGAGGCTTTGCCATAATCACACACACACACACACACACACACAGGCTTTTAAGTAACTCAGTTTACTAAACAATTACAAATTGAATAAATTGAAAGGAAAATTAAAGATCTTAGACTCTGCAGAATGCTGAGTTTCTCTTCTCAAGACGGCAGGGAGAAATACGCATGTTAGCGGAACCCAATAGAATGAAATGACTGTAACAGTGAAAAATTTTTAGAAGGGACTCTACTGAGGATTATCTAACAATAGAAATGCAGAACTAATGCTCAACCTTTTAATGCTATAATTCGTTTCGAGCTGATTTATGTGTTAAGTAAATAGCAATGCAAATTTAATTTTAGGAAGTAGACACTTGATATCATTTTTAATTAAAAGAAAAATAATATTAATAATAATAACAACTTTATGGCGTTTCTAATTTTAAAATTATTTTAAATATTCTAATTTTAAAAATTCTGATAGTAAAATTTTCATTGAGATATTATGCTATAAATTTTCAGACTGCAATTTTGTTCCTTTAAATTTTCGAAAATACCTATTTTTTAAGTATTTTTCGGTACTTATATTAATATTGATACAGATAATATAGAAAGCACCAAACGTAGTTATGATGTATTTCAATTTGTCCTTAGTATTTCCTCACATATAGTATTAACACTTTGTCTACCAGTTTCTAATGTTTCACCATAGTGAGCCTTCTCTTTCCGAATGTATTCAGTTTCTTTTCGCTTTCGTTTTCTGCTTCTTATGTTATTTTATTTATTTATTTATTTAATGTTACTATATCCTGAGTTTTACTCTAGCTAGCTAGCTAGCATTCATTATAGTACATTCATTATATTCATATA